TCATCAGGAAAAACCCAAAACAAAAATGTTAGCATGACTGGCTACTACAAGAATAAGCAAGCTGTTTGCAATGAAGACATCAAGCCTAGCAATCAAGTTCCTTCAGGACAAACTCCCCTCTAAAACACACAAGCAAGCATGTAAGCTTGCTGGCGACCACACTGGCCTACTGGTGAGTGAAAGAGGGGGAAAGGCAGCAATGAAGAAATGGGTTGAGTTCAACCACAGTACATTGACTCCTGTTGATCTGGAGATGAGAGAGAGAAGATGAAGGGCTGATTGGTCCAACATGTGGTGAGACCTGAAGACACTTGAGCCCATGTACAAGGAGATAACCACAGAGGGCTAAAACTGAGAGTGAAGCATCCAGCTGATGTGAAGTGAAGGGAGATGCACAAGAACACCCAAACTTGCAGACAGTACCCATTTGACCTAGCCTTGATGGCTCAATAATCAGAACTTGACTAGAGGAAGATTACACACACACAAAATATTTTTGATAAAGGAAACAAGGGTAAATTGCTACAATTAAATGAACCTGACCTATACTCAGAAAGGTAGTTACTCTAAATAACAACAGAAAGTGAAGGAGTCTTCACATGATGTATCAATGCTATCCCCTCTGTACACAGGGTAGATAGGGACGGGCAACTTAGACATTGGCTTCCTAAAATGATGGAGCGATAAAGGCACGAAGTGACTGGCTTACATGGTGTCAAGAGGGAGTTTAGTTTAAGAATATGGGGGGAAAGAAAGAGTCCCCACTGAATAGATTTCATCTTGTCTAGATGGGTCTGGTGAAAAGAGATGCGGATAAGATTTGTATGATTCAGTAGTGAATAACTGTTATCATGACTAATTGCAACTGTCACAATTGTAAAGGTAGAAGTTTTGTAATAAAAACTGGGGAGCGGTTAATTTTACAGTCCAGAAACAGAGGACCATCAAGGGAGAAGAGCACAAGCAGAATGAGGGAACTTATCCAGAGGCAGAGATGGTGGCATGGAGAGGGGGAGAGGCTGAGGACTCTAGATTCATGGGAAGAGAGGGACTAAGAGCTGGTGGGCAGGAGGCAGACTTGCAGAATGTGAAAGTAAATTATTATATATGAAAATTGGTGATGTAAATTATTATATATGAAAAAAAAAAGGGTACACTATTGGAAAAATGGTATTTTTAGTTTGTCTTTGATCTGTCAAAAGATGAAAATTCAGAGAACTAAGGGACTGTGACTATACATAGAAAGTGACCGAAAACACAGGGGCAGTCACAGGGAGGAGGAAAACCCCAAGGTTTTCAGTGTGTGGTATACAGATGTAAAACCATTGATCTCTGACAATGTTAGTAAGAGTTACTTGCTGTGCCTATAAAATGTCATTAGCAGAGATTTTTTTCCATGTAAAATTATTTTAAAGGTTAACATATGATAAAGTACGTCTTTAGTGCAAAACGAAAATAGAAAGCAACCCAGGCAAGAGCATATTCCTCCTTCAAAACAAAAAAAATTACAAAATGAATGAACAAACCATGGTTTTAGAATTTCTTTTCATAAAATACTTGTTCAAGTTTCAGATTTCAATTTTATCTGCATAGTTAATCCCTACCTCACTTTCAAAACCTGTGGGGAAAAGGTCACAGATTTCTCCTAGTAGCAACCGTTTAAATTAGAAATATCAACTCTGTACTAATTCTCAACAATTAAGCAGTCTTCAAATGATGTAAAAATTGTAAACTGCTTTTTCATCAAAAGTGAATTATTGTAGGAAAGGAATATAATGCACACCATATTTGTTATTCCTCCTATTAAAAAAAAAATGTTATATTGAATTATGCTTGATGCAGATCTCCCTTTCAAATATAGAGATGTTTCTCATCTAGCGATTTAACAAACAATCAGATGTCCTGAAATCTATCCTTCAAGTATCTTTCCCAAAAGGACAAAAAAGTTATTCTGGGTTTCAAAAGGACAAAAAAGTTATTCTGGGTTTTAAACAGTGACTTTTATAAACTATCAAGAGTCTGTCTTTTGTACCTTATGTTCCCTGTAGAGTTACAGTGTTCCCTGCTCTATTAGTTGGTGATACCATCATTTTTATTGAAAAGTAAAAGAAGTTCAAGTATTTGACAGTTTTAAGAGAAAATTTTGATAAAAGAACTTACATGACAAAAAGGATGAATAGGCTTAAATTAATTTAATATATGATTTCTTACTCTTTTGAACAGGGTGGCCAGCACATGGCTCCTAACTGAAAGTCCAGCAGTCTGAACCCACAGTCACTCCACGGGAGAAAGATGTGGCCATCTGCTTATGTACACAGAGTTACAGTCTTGGAAAACTTATGGGGCAGTTCTACTCAGTTTTATGAATCAGCATCGACTTGATCACAACATCTTTGTTTCATTATGCCACCATGCCTTTAAAAGGAATGATAATCACTTTCATTTCAGAAGTCTGTTTTGGTTACATCACATTTGATCCACACATACAGTGATGAGTATACAAACTTCACATTACAGAGTATGATGACAATGTCCCTAGGAAATCTTGTACCCATAACTCAGAGCAATTATGATTTCAAATTAAGGTCTTTAGAATAGATTAAGTACTGACTCTTCGTATTTTCTGTACGCTTTTTTCAGGATGCTTATTAGAAATGCATGCTTTTCTAAAAATGAGATTTCTAGACAATTATTTAGTGTTTAAAGCAACAAAGGCCTGATTTTCCCCCTGGGGAAGTTTCATTTCATTGTGAACCTGGTAGTGAATGTGAACCTGAATCATTGCTAATTCAAGGATCAATAAATTAATAGTCAGAAGACAAACCATTATAGATAAATGACACAGGAGGAAAGGATGAATGACCTCTAAGGAATATATTTAACCACAAAATGAAAAAAATAATCTACTAGAATGTAGGAATGTTCATTTACTGGAACTTGCTAACAGTCAAACTCATTCTAAGTTTACTTATACTGGTTTATCTACTGTTACCTCTAATTTGTATAAATCAAAGGTAGCTGCAACATTCAAATTTACTTATAAGGCACACCTCGTTTTGCTGCAGTCTGCTTTTATTGCCTCTTGCAGATACTGTGCTTTTTATTATTTATTTTTTTACATATTGAAGTTTGTGGTAGCTCTGTATTAAGCAAATCTATGGGCACCATGTTTTCGTAACCACTACGCTACCAGAGCTCCTTTAGTGTAAACATGACTTTTATATATACACCGGGAAATCAAAACATTCATGTGACTTGTGTTATTGGTATATTAGCTTTAGAGCAGTGGTCTAGAACCAGGTATTGCTATATCTCCAAAGTATGCCTGTAGAAGTAATCTTAATTGGGTGTTAATAGTGTAGTGGTTGTGAATCAGGCTGTGAACCGCAAGGTCAGCAGTTCGAAACTACCAGCTGTTCCACGGAAGAAAGATGAGGCGTTGTGCTCCCATAAAGATTTACAGCCTTGGAAACCCTGTACAGGGCCGCTATGAGTCGGAACCGATTTCATAGCACACAGCAGCAGCAGTTGTATTGGAAATTTCAATGCCATTACAAAACAAGTATGTTGTTGAGTATCTTACTAAACTTTTCATTTGCTCTTATCACATTTAATCTTCATGACAAGTTATGGCAAAGGTTGTTATCACTTTCGTTTTCTAGATAAGAATTTAGGCAGCTGTCCAAGGTCACACAGTTGGTTAGTGGCTGCACTGGACCCAAGCCTAGGCTGCCTCACCCTAGAGACTCAAGGTCTTAACCACCATGGTTTTCAATCTCCAAATGCAAGTGGAATATGGGTTATCAGACAGTTAAGAAAATTGACCTTTTATGATTAAGTACGATGAATGAAAAATAAGCTTTGTACTTAGATCTTCATTCTGTTCTACATAATACATGGATATGAAAAAGCACAAGTATTCCACACAGTTTGAACCATGTAAAGAAATAAGAATGAACTCACACTGTTCATTTTTTAAGGAGCTGTACATATTAATGTATCATTCTATTACAAGCACCTATGGATAGCTTGAAGTCCTGGAGTGGCGCTGTGAGTTAATGTGCCAGACTGCAAAGCCGTTTGAACTACAAGGTCGGTGGTTCAAGCTCACCAGTCGCTCCTTGGAAACCCTATGCAGGATCGCTATGGGTCAGAACCGACTCGAAAGCACTTAACAACAACAACAATGGGTAGTTTAGAGCTGTAAATGTTGTAGTTGATCATCTAACTGCACGACCCAGGAAATACACAGTGAAGTTACTTTAGAACTATTTCTCATGTGATTTAGTTTCCATACCTTCCAGATGTATTCTTCAGTACAGCAAGTGCATCTGGATAGCCATCCATGTTGTAGTCTCCAATATGAAGGGTAATTGGAATTGGTATTTCAGTTGGTCGTTTTTCATGCACAAATGGCACAAAACCCCAGAGTGTGCCCTTGTTGCTGAAATTCTGCAGCACTGGAACCCACTATGGATTAAAGAAAAAAAGATCAGACTGTACTGTTATTTTAGAAAAACAAAAAATGATCACTTGCAAAACAAATAATAAGTTCCATTAAAAAAGGCTGTTTCCAAAGTCCCCAAGATAAGCATCATTTTATTTAACTTCTTTATCTCTATGATACTGTATGGAACCTTTGGGGAAGAGCTGATTGATACTCTGGATAAAAAAAAGAGTCTCTTTTATAATTTATCATTAGCCATCTTTGCTAATGATACTTGGCACACAGAGCTTTAGAAGGTTTTTCACAGAATCACAAAATCAGTTGAACAACTGATATTAATGACCATCTAGGAGCTCTGGTAGCGTAGTGGTTATGAATTGGGTTGCTAACCTCAAGGTCGGCAGTTCGAAACTACCAGCTGTTCCGTTGGAGAAAAATGAGGCTTTCTGCTCCCGTAAAGATTTACAGCCTTGGAAACCCTGTACAGGGTTGTTATGGGTCGGAACCAACTCCACGGCACTTAACAACAACAGGAGAATTTGCCTAATTTAAAATTTATGTTGGAAAGAAATATAACCTCAAATGAATATTTTTAAAACATTATATTACTTTTGTTGTTGCTGTTAAGTGCCATAGAGTCTGTTCTGACTCAGTAACCCTATATAGGGTTTCCTAGGAGCGGCTGGTAGGTTTGAACCACTGACCTTGCTGTTAGCAGTCCAGAGCTTATCCTACAGTGCCACACCAGAACTCCAAAGTAAATTGTAATATCATCTAATTCTTATGTCCTTTCAGGATGACCAACTGAAAGAAAGAAAATTTGAACATGACCAAGTCTCCCTTGTTCTGCTGTTACTATTCTACATGACAATGACTTTAACCTTCATCCTAGAGCCAAGTGGCTTGGAGGCTTCTCAAACAGAACCAGGCCTGACAAGCTCTTCTTTACCTGATTGGGTCTTCTTGGCCCTGGACAATGGGCTCTGCCACCAAAATGGCTAGAAGCTAAGTTTATAGTAAATTTATTTCCATATTGATTACAGTGAACAGAAGAGATTGGACTGATTTTGAAATAAGATTTTGGAAAATCCTCTGTTTTCTGATAGTCCAAATTTCCACTTTTTAATACATAATGCTAAACAAAAAGTCTAAAGAGTAAAAATCATGTCATTAAAATTAAAGATGTGCCTATAATCATCTAAGAACATGAAAGCTGGCATATAACCTGGAAATGTCCAAACAGAAGCAGCACAGTTGAGGAGGCCAAATATGCCTACAGATGTTCTTATAAGCAGATGACTCATTCATATGGCTACAAGCCAAACTATATTAAAAAAGGATTCTTGAAAGGGATTCAGTGTGCAGGGCACCCCTGGCATTTTATAAGTTATCTAGAGAAAGCATAATTTGCTAAAGAAAATAATTTAATGATAAAGACATATTTACAGGAATTGAATTGCTTTAAAAACTGATCTGCTCTTTTAATCAATATTTTAATCTTTTATAAATAAAAAAGATAGCATTTTATGTATCACCAATGTTTCATGTTATATTTGACTTTGAAAAAAATGGTTTTATTTTGGAAAAAGATAGGACATTTTACAAAATGTCAAGTTATCACAGATTTCTGAAAAGGATGACCATTTCTTAATAGGATAAATTACATGAGATAAAGTATTCCTATTAAGGTCAATATATGAAGACCTACAAAGCAAAAAGACTGTTTCACCAAATGTCACATCTGTAACAATTACCAAAGAGCTGTGACATTTATCTTCCATTGAGAGATGACTACGTGAAAATGTTCTTATAGTCGTCAGTCACTTAAAGAGAGGCTACAATTACTAGGTTTACTTATTATACCTATGAACCATTGATGAGGTGTTACTTGACATAATATTGCTTTAAGTGATTCAAACTGAAAAAAAGATTCAAGATAATAAAACTTATGAGTGCAATCATTAAGTGCTTTCAGAAAACTGACTGTATAAAGATATATTTTCTTTGCTATCTTACTATAAAATATGATGTACCTATAAGGGTTATAAAAGTTTACATATTATTCTATCATTTGTTATCCCCGCAAAATAAAACTATGAGTTCTTATAATGTGGTACTGGTTTCCTTTTAGGTGTTATAAAAATAGAAAAATTATCAATGTCATAACCTATCCCTACATTAATTTTCTGTTGTGGCTACCAGATTATAAATTGTTTATACACAAACTGTAGGTAAAGTCAGCATGATAAAATAAAAAAGATACAGATTTAGAAATAAATAATACAAGCCTTGAAAGTAGGCATGATGGTCTTCCATAAAACCCTTTATTATAGTTTGATTTACCGAATTCCCAATGTATAAGATACCAACTGGTCAATTTGTTCTTTAATTCAGAATGCTATTTTTTCCCCTACTAGAAATTATTGCAATGGCACTTTCACCCTCAATAAACCAATAAATGTGGATTTAAATATATTTCATTAAGCTTACATAAGGAAGTCGATGATTTAATTTTGGGTTTCTCTCTGTCCTGATCTTTCAGATATCTTTTCTAAACTCAAAAGAATTTTTTCAAACACATAATTCTATTACCATTAAAAAAGAGACTGATGTGATGAGGCAGCTATGAAGGTAGGTTACCCTGGTGATAGCTAGAAAATATATGGAAATTAAGGAAATCTGCCTAAACGCCAACAGAATCGATACAAATGGAAATCTTTCAGTTACTTCACTGTTCTCAGCTAAAATAGCCTAGGGAATATAAATTACATTTGTAGCATATAATACATATTGTGAAGTAATGAATCACCTTACAGAGAGCAATTTGGTCTATGGCCTTGGTTCCTGAGAGTGAATCATTGGATTTTACTGAATGATTGAGGAAACTTTTGCTATCAAAGCCTAAAGATTACACCAGATGATCTGTGTTAATGAGAGGGGAGTTGGTCACACCAGAAGGACCTGGTTTGATTTGTGGCTTGGTATCAGCTGACCTCAAGGAAGAAGGGGGTGTGGCATGTTTCATTCATTGATATGCAATAAGGTCTCAATTATCATTCAACGAAGTCAATAAAGGTTCTGGACCTTCATGGAAACTCCAGGAGTTTCCTGGTTGGTGGAAGACATTGACAGGGGTAGGAGGGATGTTCTGTCCCGTGTATCTCTTCTTTCTGCTGATCCTAATTTGTATCTTCTTGCTATAATAAGTCTGCAAATCTAAATATGGTGTTTTCTGTGAGTTCTGTGAGTCATTCCAACAAACTATCAAACCCAAGGGAATGTAGGAGTCAACTGTTGGAAGAGAGGAACACATGGGAGGCTCCTAAGCTTGCGATTGACATCTTGAAGGAATAGTGAGAAAATCTTGAATTTGTGGCTAGACCGTCAGAAATAAGGTTCTGTGTGGATTCCCAAGCTTGCTCCTGATATGTCTACCTATTTGGCAATATGAACACGGCATCCTTCTAACGCGTGATACGTGTCTAGCTCTGAGTGGCTAGAGCCAGACAATTGTCATGTAGGGTACAAAATAACTGAAAGTAATATTTTGGAGATTTGATTTATTTTTATTATTATCTATGAGAACACCAAAACACACAATGTGAATCTGATAGAATGGTCCCTACTATTTCACTTTCATTAGAAAGGGGTCAGTTACAACACAAATAAATAGCAACCAAAAGAAAAAACTTGAAACACCAACCCCTCAAAAAACAAAAAAAAATAAGAGTCTCTTATCAGGAATTTATTTTTAAAAAGATCTATCAAGATATATCCAATCATTTCCATGTTGTTCTTGTTGTTAAGTGCCGTTGAGTAGGTTCCGACTCACAGCAACCCTGTATAGGGTTCCCGAAGAGCAACTGGTGGGTCAGAACTGTGGACCTTATGGTTTGCAGTCCAGTCAGGAGTCATATTAGTCTCTAAATTTACCTTTTCTAGCTACAGGATAAAATAATTTTTTATAATATGTGTCTTAATAATCAAGCAGATTACTACTGGGAAAAAGCTATGCAAACATGGCAAGAGAGGAGGTGACTCCTGAACTATGGCAGGCAACCAGACTTGCCACAGCCATTTTGAGTGTTTGTGAATGGCTTAAGAGACAAGAAAATGTATTCGTGTTTAAGAAACCTATTTATAGCTGGCAGAGACAAAGGAGCAATTTTTTTGTTGTTGTTGCTGTTCTAGTTTCCGCTGGTAACCACAGGTGAGTCTGGCAGGGAAGCTCCTGCTTTCCAGGTGGTCAAAGGCCCTAGGAGGTGACCACTGAGGGTGTGACTCCCACTGAAACAGGGAAGATCTATACACCACAACCCCACTCAGGTGGGCCTTGCTCCAAATCTGCAAAGTTGGCCTTGGCCAGCCCTAGACTTGCTCTCACTAGGACAAGTTGCTGAATAGACGTGTGGGGTGGAGAATAGGTGAAAAAAAAAAAAAAAGAGAGAGAGAGAGAAAGAGAGAGAAAGAAAGAAAGAAAGGTTATTTGTGTAGGACAGACAGGTGCAGCAGGACCATCCTGAACTTTCTTGGGCAGCTGTGAAGACAAGAGGCCAGAAGGTGGCACAGTTGGTGGAGAAAAAGCCAGTTTCTGTTTAAACTTGTTTATTGCTTCTTCTTTCTTCATTACTATTTTATCTCTTTGCTATTGTTTTCTGGTTTATTGGTTTGTATTCCCTCTCTTGTTTCTTCATTACTATTTTATCTCTTCACTATTTTTTTCTGGTTTATTGGTTTGTATTCCCTCTCTTGTGTGTATGTGTTTGTGTGTGTGTTTTCTTTTCTTGCTTCACCAGACAGGAGACAGCAACTGCAGCCATACAGCCCAGTTACAGCTATATCCTTTGCAGCCCTGTCAACTCGGCTAGAGTTAATACCAGTTGCTATACACTGGATTAATGGCAACACCCAATGTGAGCCAAATCCTCCCCAAACTGAACTATACGAACAGCGAAAAAACAATGGCACACAAGCTCGTCTCTTGATCACATCCACCCTGAGGCAGCTGGTGAGTTCCTACAAT